GACCACGGAGGCGGACAGCGCTGACAGGTAAGAGGTGTGCAGCCCATCTGAGACCCTGCAGAGCCCACTATAGAGAGTCTATGGTGGGCTCTGCAAGGTCACTCTTAGGTGGGCTCTGCAAGTGGCATAACTAGCAATCACGGGGCCCCATACAAAATTTTGCTATGGGGCCCTGTGATTTCTAGTTACGCCCCTGCACACAGGTAACTCATTCACCTTGGCGCAATCACCATGGAAGGTGTCAAGGCAGAAGAGTACCTTACCAACCGCTCAGTGTCTGCATCCCCCCTCTGCCAATCCCTCCACTGGCTTCCACTCGTCCAGAGGATAAAATTCAAAATATTAACAGTCGCTTATAAAGCCATCCACAACTCTGCCCCCGGATATATCTCCAACCTTGTCTCAAAGTATCACCCTAACCGTCCACTCCGCTCTTCCCTAGACCTCCTGCTTTCCAGCTCCCTAGTCAACTCCTCCCATAATAGCGTTCAGGACTTCTCTAGAGTCTCTCCCATCCTCTGGAACTCTTTACCCCAACCTGTCCGTCTATCTCCCACCTTGACTGCCTTTAGGCGTTCCCTAAAGACTCATCTCTTCAAGGAAGCCTATCCCACCTCAACCTAACCACTGAACCATCACATTCTCAAACAATTCATCACCACACAGCTCCCTCCTCATGTATTATTTCCCCCTCCTCTTTCAGATTGTAAGCCCTCAGGGGCAGGGCCTTCCTTACCATCTTGTCTTGAATTGTATTGTAATTGTAATGTCTTCCTTATATTGTAAAGCGCTGCGCAAACTGTTGGCGCTATATAAATACTATGTAAAAATAATAATAATAATGAATATTTCTCAGCATTTATAACCACACGGGTACTTTGTTCACCTGGGCCCAATCACCATGGAAGGTGCCTGGGCGGTTGAGTATCATGAATGTTCCCCAGCGTTTATTTCCACATGTGTGACTCATTCACCTTTGCCCAATCACCATGTAATGTGTCAAGGTAGATGAGCGCCATCCCAAGTATTTATAACCACACGGGTACTTTGTTCACCTTGACCCAATCACAATAGAAGGTTTCAAGGCAGATGAGTGCCTTGGACATTCCCCACACAGGGTACACCATGGAAGGTCTCAAAGCACATTAGCGCCCCAAGGATTTATAATCGTGAGTCATGTTCATGACACTCGTTGTGGCAGAGGAAGCCCCTCGGATGACTAGCGAAACGTCTTCAACAGAACAAGTCTACTTGGATGTGACTAACCTCTCCTAGGCACGAATTCAGAAATCATTGCAGATGTACTGCCGACATGATCAAAGTTAAATATATCCGAGAGGTCCTATCATACAGTCTTGACCTTTTATATGCCAGTAAAAAAAATGTTACGTGATCGACATCTGCAAAACAAAATGGTACGTCATGTAATATGTTACGCAGTGATGACATTGAAATGTTACATGTCAAAGTGCCTAGTTTCCTAGTGATATTTCATTTATATATATTATATTATATATTTATTTAGTTCACATGATAGCACCACAGGCCCAAAGTGTGCCAAGAAAATATCCCACACACCATTACACCACCACCACCACCAGCCTGAACCGTTGATACAAACCAGGATGGGTCCATCCTTTCATGTTGTTTACTCCAAATTCTGAACGACCATCTGAATGTCGCAGCTGAAATCGAGACTCTTCAGACCAGGCAATGTTTTTCCAATCTTCTAACGTCCAGTTTTGGTGAGCCTGTGCGAATTGTAGCCTCCGTTTCCTTTTCTTAGCTGACAGGAGTGGCACCCGGTGTGGTCTTCTGCTGCTGTAGCCCATCTGACTCAAGGTTGGACGTGTTGTGCGTTCAGAGATGTTTTGCTGCATACCTCGCATGTAATGAGGGGTTATTTGAGTAATGCTGGGCACACACCTTACAACCATCGCAAGACTTTTGTCTTGAGATGGTTGTAAGGTACTTAAAAAAACGTACAATCTGCCTATCTTGCATAGGCAGATCGTACTTGCGATGATCACAAGCCGCGCCCCCCTGAGGGGCGGGCTTCCGATGACCGCAATGCCGAACGGGCAGTGTGCGCTTGCGCACACCGGCCCGGCCGGCTTTTATCTTACGAACATGCTACACACCCGCCGAACATCGTACGATGCTCGGCGGGTTTTCGAACATGTTCGTAAGTTTAAAGTCGTGCGACCTTATAGTAGCAGAGGTCTCACGGCTTCCACACACCTTACGATAATCGTACGATCGCGGGATTTCTCGCGATTACCATACGTCCACACAACTGACGCTCACTGGATATTTTCTCTTTTTCAGAGCTTTCTCTGTAAACCCGAGAGATGGTTGTGCGTGAAAATCCCAGCAGATCTGCAGTTTTTGGACTGGCACCAACAACCACGCCACGTTTAAAGTCACTTAAATCCCCTTTGTTCCGATGCTCGGTTTGAACTTCAGCAAGTTGTCTTCACCACGTCTAGATGGCTAAATGCATTGAGTTGCTGCCATGTGATTGGCTGATTAGCAATTTGTGTTACCAAGCAATTGAACAGGTGTACCTAATAAAGTGGCCGGTGAGTGTAAGTTCCTGTACAAATGCGCACAAGCACGCACACTTATTTACTAGAGATGCACCGATACCGGTATTTCGGTACCGAGAGCCAATATTTTTCTTCCGGTACTCGCAGATGCTGAATACCGATTTCACGCCGCCTGGAAGCCAGGCGGCGTGAAATTACCCGGCTTCCCGATTAGCTGGGAAGCGTGTAAAGACTCGCCACCCGGCTTCCCGATTAGCAAGGAAGCCCTCCCCATGCTTTCTGGAGCCGGCTTGCTTGCCAATCATGGAAGCCGGGCGCCGTGTAACCCTAACCTCAGCATGAGGTGACGAAGGAGCATGAAGCCGACTTCC